GGAAAATTCAGAGCAACAACTTTGAGCTGGAAGACAAAAATGATGAAGAACCAAAGGAAGATAATGAAGCTGAGGTACAACCGACACATGCAAACAATGGATCTGGAGCTAGGAGTCAAATTAACGAACCAGAAGGGTCTCAATTGAGGTTTGAGATGGCTATGAAGGAACGAGAGACGGAAAAGGAGGCAATCAAAAGGAATGAGACCAATTCACAGATGCAATCCAATGGAACAGTAACAACGATCGAAGAAACCAAGGTAGAAGCTAAGGAGCAGGAGATTAGCATGGACAAGCTTATTTGCGAAGAATAGAGCAGTTGAAAATGGTATGAAACTAACCTACATACCTCCACAAGTGGTAAATGGTGAAATTAGAGTACAATATAAGGAAGAAGTTGATAGAAAAACAGAGAAATGGAAAGGGGCTTTAATTGCGTATGTTCTGGGTGATTTGCCAGGATATAACGTAATGAAGAGGTATATAGAAAACACATGGAATTCGATTCCAGATCCAGAGTTATATATGCATGAGGATGGTTATTACATAATCAAATTTAAATCGATGGAAGATATGCGGGAAATTTTGTTAGCTGGTCCATATACTATCAATAATAGGCAAATTATACTTAAACAATGGATAGCTGACTTTGATTTTGAGAAGGAATTTCCCACTGAGATTCCATTATGGATTAGATTTCCAAAACTTCCATTGAACTGCTGGGGTGTGAACTCACTAAGTAGGATTGCAAGTTCTATTGGTACACCTATGTACGCTGATGAATGCACTGCTAAACAATTAAGAGTATCATATGCTAGAATGCTAATAGAGGTAGATATGACAAAGCCTCTAAAGGATGAAATAATAGTGGAAGATTCAAACGGGAAAACATTTTTGCAATCAGTTATCTATGACTGGAAACCAAAGTTCTGTGAAAAATGTCAAATCATTGGGCATGATTGCAAGCAGGAAAGGGGAAGGCAGATTCAAATGAATACCAAGAATGAACAGAGAAAGCCAAAGAAAGTAGTGCAACATTGGGTTAAAAGGAGAAAGGGAAGATAAAATAGATTGAACAAGAAATTGCCTCAGAGAAAGGAATGATGCAACAACAGGATAGTAGGAGAATAATGGAAGTAGGACAAGGGTCAAGGGAAGCTGAGAAGCAGAAATCAACAAACAATGAAGTACAAACACCAGGGAATATAAGGAAAGAGGTGGAAAGTCAAATCACAGAGTTTAATGACATTCATTTCCCACTTTTGGGATCAGTACCACTGAGGAATGGATTCCAAATATTGAGTAGAGAGGGGAAGGGTGCAAAAACAGTACCTCCAGACATAGGAGGTAAGGCAAGGAGATCATTATGAACTGGTTAGTATGGAATATAAGGGGATAAATAAAAGGTAGAGGCAGAAAGAATTGAAAAAACTCCTGAAAACAAAAAAAATTGGGATAGCTGGCATAGTTGAAACAAGAGTAAAAGAGAGTAAAGCTAGGAAGTATAACAAAAACATAGCCACAGGGTGGAGTAGTTTGAATAATTATGCATCAGCCAAGAATGGAAGGATCTGGGTGATGTGGGATGATAACAATTACTAGGTTACTGAGATAAGGGAAAATGCTCAAATGATACANTAAACTGTTTACTATGACGTTTCGAGCTCGGTCTGAGGTGGATACAGTCAATAATATAATTAGATATGAAGAAATTCCAGAATTAGCGATACAAATGGCAAAACGCCGCTTAATGTCTGATGACACAAAATGCACTCCACCTCCAAATCCACACATCCCTAAAATTGGAAGGAAACTTGCAGTGCCGAGTCAAGAACCAAAAGAAAACCGAGGTACTTAAGGGCTCGTTTGGCCATAAAAAAAATTTATTTTTTTCCAAATTAATGTTTGCCCATAAAAAATTTAAATTTCACTTGAAGTTGAATTTCAATTTTTTAAAGAAATTTAAAAAACTCCGAAAAGCTATTATTCAAAATTTTCACTTCAAATCACTCACAAAAATTTGAAAACAGCTCCAAGTTGTATTTATATCCAAACACAACTCTAATTTTCATATAAAAATTTTACTCAATTTAATTTTTTATTTTTTCCGTAATTTCACAATTCTAATGTCCAAACGCCCACTAAGTTTCAGTTTGTTTCTTCATGGAATAGCTAAGGTTTAATACAGACGTTGTGAAACGTCATGACTACTCTTTTTCTTAGTCAAAAGAATACAAAAGCGTAGGCTCTAGTAGTATGGCATTATTATATGAATGTATCATAACTTCCAAAATTGAGAGTTGGCGTCACAAGGTCATATACACTTGTCTTCCTCCTTTCACATTGCTGACATATGGGTTTTAATTTTTACGTTACAATTGGCTTTGGCGTTTGGTATGCTAGGTGTCCTTGTTTTTGGGGTATATTACATTACATTTACATGTGATGTACACAAAAAGACAATTGGCTTTTTGGTTTTCATTTGGGTATATATATATATATATATAACTATTTATATACTTTCCTCATATTGAGTCATGCCACATACGACGACGGTTTGGATTTCTCTCGGAGGTTTACTATATGACGAGCATGCATACTTTTCTACTAGTATCAACGTCAACTATATTATACTCTAGAAATACTTACCTATTTGTGACTTCTCTTGAAGACATATATTACTATAGCACCCAAACGGGTAGTTCAAAATTCCTCGATCGCCTTTAATTTCCCTGTAAGTTTAATTTGATCTTAAAGGTCTGAAAGATACTTTAATTCAGCATTACATACAGTGTCTCAGCCGCTTTATTTTATTTTGTCCATTTCGATAAATGTTGTGGCTTAAAATTTAAGCCGGTTTTTCTAGTTTGAAATTTAAGCCGCTTTATATAGTTTGAATTGACCGCGCGCTTTGGCTTTCACTCTATATATACTTTTCAAAGTTTAGTCTTAAGACCATTGCTTTGGTCTTTGAGTAAAATAAGTTTATTTTCTGTAATGAACTCAAATCCAGAGTAACAATAACTGAAACCTCTCTACTCTATTAATAAGACTGAAATGTGATTACAACTCAAATATCAAGATGCAACAACTTAGTAGCAGAATTACAATAGAAATTGCAGGAAGTAAAGTAACAAGGGATAGATAGAAGAAGGGGATGAGAAGGTTACACTTAGAGAATAGGAGACGAGGAGAAGCAGACACTTTTCTCAACAATACGCATACCCCCAAAATTACTGACCGCTACTCTGTTTAATAGAATTGTTCTTGGGCTCATTGCTCAACCCGGATCCCAAAATAGACTGGCCCTATTGCTTGTTCTCGGCCCAATAGCTCTTCTCAGCCCAATAGCTATTTGTGTGTTGATATCCTTATAGGGCTGGAGTTGATTCATAACAATACCCCGTCCTCAATAAGAACCTTGTCCTCAAGGTTCGAGTCAAGAAGCCTTTCAACCAAAAATAATGGTAAACTAATTGTAGCTATATAAACATCCACAGGTGCAAAGGCCGCTGATTGGCAAGTCCATTTGCATATAAGAAAGAAACCAGCAGTCCCATATGTGCTAGCAACAGTAGTTCGGGTAATGATGTTTACTGAAGCGTCTTCAATGACTAGCACAAACCTTTGTATATATATTGCGGTGTCGAGCTCATCTCCATCACAAGTAGAAAGGAAAACAAGAACTCCATAACAAGGGCAAGTTGTGCCACTAGAACCTCTAGCAAAGCAACAAAGTAGCAAATGGTAAGCCTTCAGAGATTTCAAGGCTAGGTATGGCGATTTTGCACAATGAAGGCCATAACGACTTTGCGCTATTATATGCGAATTGTACATAATACCTCCTAGCTTTTAAAACAACGAATGCAGATGTATCCTTGGTGAAACCCATATTTTTAAAGTACATATGTATTCTGCGGGCAATAACAATTCTTTGATCTAGAAGCACAATTTCCTTGCCAACACTTATTCTCCAACATCCCAACCCTTAGGTCCATATTTATTAGCTGTCCATTGGATTTCCTACTCAAAGTGCTAAAACTCTCCACTATAGACTCAACTATACCCTCAACTTCAGGGTGAATATCTAGTGTGTCAAACTTTCCCAAACAAGCAGTGGTATCAATATTACTACTCCCTTTCATTTTTCTCTGCAGCTCACCTGGTGCACTAGTACCTCTAGTGATATCCGCAGAATATGACTCAATAAAGAATGCACAAGTAACTCTAATGTTATCTGTGGAATGTGACTCAATGATGAAATAAAATTCATAAAGTGACAAGCCATATTCTGACTTGGTAATGTCGTGAATAGTTGCTTTCAATTGATGAAAACAAAAATTATCAACAGAGAGAGGCGCAATGCATATTGACAGATTAGCTATGGCTTTCAAGATTGCCTCAAGAACACCATCGCTGTCTTCAAGAATTGGTGCATCCGAAGGGCCTCCTCCAAGATCGAAGACGACAATCAATGCAAAATTAACTTGGGCTCCCAGATTTACCCCAGTTTGCCCAACTATAACACCTTGAAGGACTTGTGCAGTTCTTTCTCTGAGAACTTTGCCAGTAGCATCTATAACAACACCAAGATAAGGAGAAATGGCTAAAGCATCAGCACTGAAGTCAGTTGTTGGCCTAGTAAAATAACAAGTCCAATAATGATTATGCAACCATTGTTGTCCGGGTTCCCACACTTGAGTCATAGAGGTAGCATATGCAAAGAAGAAAAATATGCAAGTAGATCCCATCAATAGCAGTGGCTCCCCATTCACTGTATAACCTGTTAGGGACTTGGACTTAAAACTTATTCCTGGATCCCACGCACAAAGATCTGATGCAGTTGCGCGAATGGTTACTATAAAGAAATTAGCACTAGGATCAATGAAGTTAAGCCTCTCACTGCGAGCAGGAGTTGAATCAACCATTTTGTCGCTTGCTAGAAGCAATAGCGAAATGTGTGATGTTATAAATCCTTTACAACAATTAAACTTTATCGGGAAGTGCTGCAACTGTAAAGAGATTATGAGATCAACACGCCACGAGACATGTTTGCATCCGCTTGATGCAGCAGCAATATTAGGAACTTGAAAACCATGAGGGTAACCACTAAGCTGGACTTGTCTGAGTAATGAAGACACACACAACTCGACCATATTAAAGCAAGCCCATAAAACGTGCCCAGTAGCGAAACAACTGTCCACATACCTACAAATTCGCAGCTCATTATCCCTTGCACCCTTGCGATGTGCTGAATACAAGTGACAACCCTTTCGTCGTTTTGCAGTCAATAAAGTTGAAACAACTTCATTTGAAGCATGTTGCCCAGTGTCGAACCAATTATAAGTGTGTAAGACATATTTCAAGTTCATTCGACATCCCTAAAATAATCCAACACCAAGGTTAAAGAGGGTTGTTTGAATATGTAAGGGAAAAACTCGACAATCTCATCATCTTCATCAGCTACTGTTGTATGGATGAGAAGTGAAGTCACTCCCTCATTCTCCATTGGTTCGTCAAAGAGAGCAGATAAAATCTCAGTGGAAACATATTTTGCGGTCTCAAGAAGCGCCACATTCGCAAATTGGCATTGCAGCTTGGTCGTTTTTAGCTCGAGACTTTTATCAAACACTATGTCCGCAATATTCCTGAGCCATGCACCCTCCTTGTTAGCGGATTCCTTGGGTTGTATAGTATCCAATAAATCAATTTCAACGCTTTCAGTATTTCCTCCAAGCATCTGAGTAACCGGGAAAGGGAGTCGTGCTGATTTATCAGCTACTAAATAAACCACCATCAGTGGGGCAATGAAGTGGGCATTCGAGTACGCATCATCGACTTTAGGATCGTTATTTGTGTTGAACAATGATTCTGCAAGGATCGACGTTGCCAGCACTTTAAATTCACCATCCTCGCTATGATAAATACATTCATTTAATAATTCCTTGGCATCACTGGACGAGTCAGTTTGTGAGTGTGGCTGTTCTCCTTGTGAATTTTTATCGAACACTTGGTCTGCCTTAGAATGTCCAGCATACAAATCAGAGGCAAATGCAATTGATATA